CGACAAACAGCGTCGCTGTACCCACACCGTCGATGGTGTTCGGCACTGCCGCAAGATGGGCCATCTTGATCAAACGGTTCACAAAGACCACTACACCCGTGTTGCCTGCCGAGTACTTCGGCAGGCCAAACACAAAGTCCGTACTCTTGGACTGCCACACCCGGAGGATACCGATGAACTGGCCAGCGGCGCCGTCGCATTCGGAGGGGGTTTCACCCTCTGACACGTTTTACACGTGCGCACATATGTGCTCATCCGTTTGTACAATGTTGTATCAACATTCGTACTACAAGGGTACAAGTAGTATTACTATACTTCATGGCCACAAAGAAAGGCTAGGGGTACTCTCCCAATCAATTCTATGCACAGGTTGAGCGGACACTGTAACATAAACCAGCGCATCCGTCCACTATCTGAAAGTAACATTAATCCAAATGTGAACTCTTTCGGGATTCTAGTTATCATCATTCAGTAGTGCGTAAAGATCACATTCGATATTCTCGAATGATCGACTGTGAAATGCGACGAGCTATTATTTTTGAAGCTGACGCAGTGTCAGGACACTTTTATGCCAGTCAAATTTTGGGCTTCTGCCCCGTTTGGCATACCTTGAATAGGTAAGTTGTACACCATTTGAGCAATATAGGAACACGGAATAGCGCGCAATATGTGATGCAAAAAAGCTAAAGTAATCAGTACTTTTAAGGATTCGACTCAACATGAATTCTACCGCTGTAGGTCTTCTCATGACCACTGAGTGGGGAGTCGTGGGCCTCGTACATGATATAATATCTCGAATTCTCATCGTGAGGAACCACAATTCGTGGCGTATCCATTGAATCGGTGCTATAGTACAGCAACCCGTTGCTCAACGAATATCGGTGTAAACGTGCGCGCAAACGCGCCTGAGCCTCGAAAATTAAAGACGCACCGCGGCAGCATCTAGACTCAGCGGCGCAATATTAAAAAAAATGCGTAAGAAAATGAAATCAGCAAGAAAACAGATTGGGGTGAGTAGTCGAGGTGAAAGCCGTCAGTGATACGGGCGGCTCGAAGTGGGTTCAGCGCCGCGTTCAGTGCAGTCCCACTAACGAAAGGTCGACCTGATAACTCTGGATTCGATGACGCGGGGATACGTGATACGACTGTTGTCTCTACGTCACCCTCTAAGGGAAACGCTTGGGCTCTGGTGTGAAGCTGCTGGTGTTGACGCT